AAATGCAACCGAAACTTTTCCGATTCCACCTCCCCGCCCCCCAAAAAGTTGCAGAGCAATGGGGCATGCCGTGAATCCTGTTTAATAGACTCCAGGTGGCCACTTTAAAAAAAGGTTATCGATTTCGAAATACATATCTATAAATATTATTCCCCTGTTGATATGGCGCTGATGAAAATTTAATTTTAGAACGCAATTTAGATAAACTTGAATTTAATGTGGAAAAGCTCGAACACAAATGAACAACAAATATTTCAATAATGGTAATTACTTTGTATGTATCTTAAATGCAAGTAGTTTGTATTACTTGCTTTTAAATAAAACTGAGAGATGTGTTGCAAATTCATCAATAAACTTTGGGCTAAAGAGCCTTTGTTATTTTTCAGAATGTAACATATCAAGTGTATTGTTATTAAAAATGTTCTACATTATTTTCGCAATAAAAAATCACTTTAGATCGATTTTATTTTTCCCCTGTGCAGGACACACACATGCCCGGGGCGTTCAAAAGTTGGTTAGTCAAGTCATTGACTGACTGGAAATCAAATCTTCTCCGCCCTGAACCCGAACCCAAAACCTAACCCAAGCCCGAACCCATTGAGGATGTTGGCTGCTGTAAAGAGCCGGGGCTGATGCTCGGAAAATTTCATAAATCAAAGTGCCGCCAGGAGGTGCGTGCAGCAGGACTCGCCCGAGTATCTGAAGGAGCGGCAGGATTCAATGCACGGCGCTGTAATTGCTTTATGCTCTGGAGCGTGATGCGGTCAACAACGCAACGTGAGCGAGCCATTTTTGACATGGCCCAGAAGCGCTGCTCTCCATCCACATCTCTTTTGGCCCGCTTCTCATACACATTTAGTGAAATGGAAAAGTTGAAAAGTTTTACGATATTTTTTGGTTAGCTGGATACTCGATGCTTTGCCCGCCAGAGCTTGAAAGTCGGACATAACTTGTCGCATTGAGGTCAGCAGACACGATACTTTTATCCGAAAACTTGGAGACAACTATGTATTTCCATACGACAAGTTCGCAAAACATTGAGAGATAACAGTTTAAACGGTTTCAGTAGGAGCGGTTTCGAAGTTAAACAAAGTGATGTAAGGTTAAAAAAAATGCTACCTTTTTGTATGTGAGACTAAAATAAATACAATAAGTTTATAAGTAAAGATAGCGGTTATCCAACCATTTAAAATCTCCACAAATTCATCCACATTTCGTGCAAGCTTGTCCCCTTTGACAAAACTTTAAAAATTGCATGGGAGCGGGTAATAAATTATGCTGCCGTCATGTTTTTATACGGGCTCTAAAAAAATGATGTATATGCGGATGATAAAAAGGAGATTGCAAAACATCAAGTGGAACACCTCTGGCCAGAGTGCATCGCACTCGAATGTCAAAGCTAATAAGCAGCTTCGGTGGGAAGTATTTTTCCCGGGGGAAAACTCTGTTTTTTTTTTTTTTTTTTTTTGCGCATTTTTTGCCAGCTCTCCAAATACGTGGCAGATTTATGGGTAAGTATAAAGCAAAGGTGATGACGTTGAATCTAGGCAGGTGGCAAAACTTTAGGGCCACACACATGTGGGCGTGTTTCCCTGTTTTAGCTTCCAAATTGTGTGGGCGGGTGAAAAAGAACAACAAAATGTGCTGCATACTTTGATGCTGGCTCTAATTAATGAAGGACTTTGGCTTTACCTTTCTGCCACTGTCGATGCATAAAGAAATTTTGCTAATTAAAAATAATCGCAATAGGAAAGCCGGACTGCAACTTTGTCTTTGCCTCGGAAACCCTTCGTTCGTCCTCTATTATGTCCTGGGAAAATTCCCCGAGCTGGTCGGCCATTTCTTGTGATTATTTTAACAACTTGGCCATGTTGCTGCATTCGCTAAAGACCCAAAGGGCCGTTCGCACCGTTGAGACACGCAAAAAAATATCAACAAAAATAGGGAACAGGTCTTAAAATCTTATTTTATGTAAATAAATAGAACATGAGCATAAAATTATAGAATACATTTTTAGTTTACTTTATTGGAAATATAAAACTTGACTTACATCCTTTCTCTAAAAATGTTATGAGGTAGTCTTTCACTTACTTAATTAAAGAGATTCAAGTCTTAAATTGAAAATTATTTTTTTTTTAGCTTATAGATTCAAAAAACTTTAAAATATTGTTTGTCCATGTTTTTTCTGCCTGTTAGAAGCCGTACAAATTGCTCGCGGGCTGCAAGTAATTGTCTCTGGCTCGTTGCTTTGGATTTGGATTCGGATTTGGCGGCTTTGGATGGCAACATCATTAAATGTGTATATAATGGAATTGCTGTGATTTGTTCCTAGCTGGAGATTTATTATCGCCCTGCCATTTTCCAGGCGAAAAAATCGGCATTATGTTCCGCATGCCTGGTGACAAAGTGCAGCCAGACGATGGTTTCCATTTTCTGTTTCTCGGCAACGACAATCGGGGTCGTTTACATAAACACTTTGGAAATTTATTGCTCTCAGTTGGCGTGTGTGTCTGTCAATTGCAAAACTTTGTGCATTTCATTTGTGCGAAATTTGCTTACAACTCAAATTGAATTAACCTGATGACTCGCAGGAATGTTGGGCGGTTCCGCCCAGTGGCTTCGACCCAAATTCGACTGAACCATTTAGTACTGGCTGATCTCTAACTTGAGGACATCACAAGTTGGAGAAATCGTCGTCTGAGACGCCATCGTTTGTTGTACAAGTTTGCCCATTTGCATTTGCATTTAAAGTTTTTGCTTGACACAAGTTTTGCCGTGAACATATGCTCGAAACCCTATTAGGTCTCCATCAAATTAAAATATGTCCGCCTTGACGTGAATAATGCTCGGAGCCAGGGCAAAATTAATTGCCTGCAAAACTATACAAAAGTCATCCTGGCTGGCGTTTCCTCAACCAGGGAAGGTGCGCAATTTCGCAGTAATCAAATAAATTAAAAGTTGACCAAGGACCCAGAAACAATGGAGGAAGCTGCAAAATCTCTTAAGTCTCACTTGAGTTGTTCAAACATCTGTGCAAATGTGTGCGGGTTTGACAGGGATTATATTTGGATTGCTGGATTTGGGGACATTGGAGCGAGAGCTTTGAATGAATTTGTGTGACAAAATGAAATACTTGTGCATAAGTGAAATTGTTTTACTTTGCCATTGCTTTGTTTGTAGGTAACGAAGTGGAATAATGGCCAAGTGTACATACATATTTTTAAAATATTGGCAGAGTGCAAAGTAAACTTAATTTCTTTATGGACTTCGCAGCCAGTCGGAAATCAGTTTGTGGCTCTGGTATAATGTCAAGTCAGAGTGGCATATAATTACATTTGTAATCCCCTGGCATGTGGCATTGGACGTTGTTTACTTTCGCGTTGACAATCGACATTAAAATGTTTACTGTTTGAGTACTTTTTATGAACGACATTAATATCGATAATATCGGGAGCAGGGAGATGATTCTCTTAAATAAAATCATCAAAGCTTTGCATTTAAAGCAGCACAGATTGCAGAAACTTGTCGCAGATTGTGGCGACATTCGATATTACCAAATTGACATGCGGTGTATCTCCAGATTTGATCTGTTATTTTGGGCGTCTCCCTGTTGGCAGATTGAGTTTGCATTTAATACCTTTTACGTGTCCGGTTTGCTAATTAATGTCCATCGCCGGCCGTTCGGTGTAATAAATTGGATTTGCTGTTAACATTTTAGTCAGTGTTTTGTCATTACTCGCTGTGGGAGTTCCTGTCGGTTTGGCTGTGACCGAAATGCTGGCCAAAAAGCCAGGGGAAAACACCCGCAAATTTGGTGGCCACTCTAAAGGGAAATCTCCGCTTTAATAGTCCGTGTGCGTGATCAAACTTCAGCCAGCCAATTGCCGGCTACTCATGGCCATAAATAGTTCATTGCATTTCCATTAGGCACTTTGTGGCAATCCGGACTGTTCGTTGACCTAATGTGTGCAATTCATTATGTGCAATTAGAGTTCAATTCAGAGGCGCTGCTCTGGCCAGGCAAAGTTCAAGGATCGCCTAGGCCGGCCTCTTGAGGCCATAACACATCATTAATGGGCCTGTGCGGCCGGGTTGCCAAAGAAAAGTGTAACAATAATGGGCTCGTTTGTTTTCATTGCACACGTGCCCAAGCCCGGGCTTTGGTTAAATGTGCTCTTAATAGACCCAGCTTCTGGGCCATGTTTTTGCTGGGCAAACATTTGGCCAGGTCTCCTGTCGGCGGCACTCGCCCATTCTCCTATGCCCCTATTCCCCTTTCAATGGGCCACTCCTTCTGTGGTCAAACTGATGGCTCTGATCCGTCAACTCGCAGCCGCTCAAAAAATTAAATTAAACGCGCGAATACATATTTAATGGTGCGAGAATGTGTGGCATCAGTTGGTTTTTCTACAAACCCAGTTAACGGGTGGATTAACGATTCTGTTCGAAACTAAATGTGTTTTATATTTGCTTTCCATTAACTTAGTTTGGTTAAACGTCGCAAAAGCGACAAACTTTTTGTGTAACACTCACGAATAACAAACAGGTGACATATTTTAATCAAAAAAAGTAGAGAAATTAGTGCAGCTTCTGGTTCCGCTACTGTCTATGGAATAAATATTGCAAATATTTTTTTCCATACACATCTCTTACCATAATTGCATGCATATTGGCTGCATTAATTGCACGCGATACTTTAACAGAGATTTTTCATTTTTATTCTTCTCTGCAGCAGTATGATTGTTGAGTTAAATAATTAATGCGTGATTTTTGAAATGCCTATGTGAATGGCTGTGTAAATAAATTGCAGCAATCTCTCTCTCTTATTTCCAGATATTGTTTGATAAGTCCGCGCGATATTCTCGGCTATATTCGTTTTTATTAATTAACACCAGAGGCTTAAAAGGAATCCCCATGGATACACGTTCGCTGTTGACAGTGACAACTATGCGGGATATTTATTAAAGCCTTAATTGTGCGATCAAATGGGCCCGTTTAAGTATGCCATTTAAAATAATACAAGCACAGCAGTGAAAAATTTTCAATATGTCGATCCCCGAAGTTTCATCCGGCTCCTCAGTTGCGGATTCGCTGCGCGGCAGGAAGGTGCCCCTTACGCGTCTCACCCAAAAGCTGAGGGAAAAGGCCGATGGGGAGGCCAAGAAGGTCCTGTCCAGGGCCCAGTCCTTTTCGCAGATTGCAATGCGAACTTTGGGCACACGGTTTGAGTCACATCATCTTCTTGAACTGGACCAATGGTGCAAACCCAGAACTCGATTCCATGATGAGGCGGATGTAAGTCTGCATCCCAGCTATGAAATAAAGCAGTTCTCTTAGTAAGTTTAATATTTGTTAATAAATTCTGACCTTGCCATCTAATCTCCCCGTTTTTGTAGCGATCTTAATTGCTTTGTGCGATATCTGGAGGCAAAGGTTAAGTATGACAAGCAGTTCATGAGGGAAATGGCACACATCATTGCCTATCAACCCAATATCTGTGAGCAGTTTTTTCTGAAGCAGTAAGTTCAAAGTTTAAAATGAGAAGCAAAAGTTTACGTGGATTTTCCTGGCTTTGCAGAATTCTTTGCTATAAAACGCGCTGGCCTCCTTTGCATACGAAACGGGAACTGAACAACTTTGTCTCCAAATTCTTCCAAATGACTCCGAAGGAGAAGAAGCGCGTCGAGTTTCTCATGAAAACAAATTTAAGCCTGGGTTGCTAAAGTTTATCCAGTTGCAAACTAAATTGTGCTATTAATTCCATTTGGCAATGGTTTAATTAGCAAATTTAATTTGCAACAATGCTTTGCAATCCCGGCAATTACTTTATGAAATAAAACAAGACATACATTAAACTATTTAATGTATGGTTTGATTTCTCTATTCTGAAATTAATTGGATAAACAAATTTGCGCACTCATTACATAAACTTATTAAATTTTAATGAGATCTCTCTCTTTTTCGAGAGGCAATATTGCTACTAGCGGAGAGCTTAATAGTTCTGAACAAAATCCGCATCTGTTTTCGTTTTTCCACTAAATTACATTTCAACAAACTGCCGTTTGTGCATATTAAATATTTGAGATGCAGTCATAAATAAATTCAAACAATGAATTGTTTTATTGTGGGTCTGTGTAACTATGTGCAAAATTCATGTTTAAGCGCGGGGCAATTGTTTCCATTTTCCATTTTCCATTCTCCATTTTTTTCAACCTCCCGATAAAAGACAAATGTGAGTGTGTGTGATTGTGTGCGTTGACAGGAAGTGCGTCATTTGTCAAAAGCGATTTTATGGCCATTTTTTAGCCGTTGAGTAGAGTTTTGTTTGCGCTGCGTAAACACCTGAAAAAGGTCAACTTAACAAATGTTTACGCAGTGAACAATGGCAAGAAAACGTCATGTAAATTCTGCCATTTAATTTAGTTATGCCCGTGGCTGAAGTTCGCCTTCAGAATAAATCAATACACTTCCTTTTGTGGTTGGTGTTTTGCATTTGCCGCAAAAAATAAACATTCATGAATAATTGGCCAGCTGAAAGTAATCTACAAAGGCTTTACTATATGAAATCGAAGCTGTGAATGCAGTCAGGCCTGTCATTGAATTAAACATTTGTTTTCGATGTGGCTTAACAATTTATGGGCATCGGAGTATGGTGCTTAAATCGTTTGAAAAAGTCTAAAGAGTTTTAGATGTTTTTATTTAGTTTGGAACTGTGAACAGTTTTTGAACGCACTCATCGAACACATTCCGCTCCAATTAATGCAACACCCGATTTTACAAAAAATTAAGACTTTCTTCCCCTTTTCTCGGCGCAGTCTAACAATTTTAAACTGCCACAGAATATAATTCACGCTTGAGTGGGCTTTCAACCTCGATAGCCAACTTCAATTAATGCCAAAGTTCCACCAATTTTAAAGCCGGTTCCCAGAAGAAAAGCCCTCGCACGGGTAAAAAATCACGGCAGAAGCTCTGGCATCCGCAGCTCAGAGCTATAAATTATAATTTCCGCATGCTGAGCTGCCCCCAGTCCCCATTTACGCTGCCCCATGCAACCATACCACCATACCACCATACAACCATACAGCCCTACCACCTTACAACCATACAACCAATGGCCTGGACTCCGTCCGGTCAGTCATGGTTTTATGATGCTTATAAAAAAAGAACTCTTGCCACTGCATGGCTGCAAGGTGTGCGCCAATTTCCGGCACATGTGAGCGTGTCGGTGTCTGCGCTTCTTTTTTCTACATATAATTTTAAAAATGTTTGGCCGACACCCATGCCGTGCCCATACATACATATGTTGCCAGAACAGGCGGAGAAAAAATTATAATTAATAGCGCTTGAGAAGAGAGTCACAAAAGAAAATAAGCCAAAATCATGCATAACTTAAAGCCAGCCACAAGCTGCCCATCGTGTAGCAATGGGCTTTTATTACTCATACGCACTGGGTGACCAGTGGCTGAATGGCATTAGCATTACTCACCCAGTTAAGTGAAATGATTATTACCTCTGGCCTCTTGGCAGGCTTTTATTAACATGGCTGAGCCTTATTTATAGGAGTCATGCATCATCCGTACGCACTTTCTAATCAAACTAGATTTATGATGTTTAATGGGCAGCGGATAACCCTTGGTGAAATAGGATTTACATCCCTACAGAACACCCCCACATTACATTTTATTTTATGACTCATTTGCATTGAGTAGCCGTATCCTTGGTAAGTTAACACTCCAAGGATAACACTTAGATACATTTGGTGAATTTATTGCCCATACAGACAGGGCAACCCTCATTTCAGCGAAGAAGATTTAACTCGAACACGGTGCAAATCGCGATTCCATCACCCGTTTAACTTTAACCTTGCGGCGGTACCTTTCGATTTTTCGCCACAAAGCCAATTCACATAAGCGATCCTTCATTTCTGCCCCATTCCCTCCGCACAATTCCACTTGCCGGTGTAATGAATGTTGTTTGTTTGCACAACATATTTAACAACAAGTAGCAATGCTGAGCAATCATTGCTTGCCAACTCGTTTGTTTTACCGACTGGGGTATTTGCACTGGCTGAGGAAGTTTGCCTTGGGGAAAGTATGATTAAGTCCTGCTGGGGACTTGAGTGTAACTAATGTACATCTTGAATGCTTGGAACACGTTTAAGTGCATAAAAGAGTATTTTGTTTTGTTGATTCAAGGCGACAAAGGGTTGAATTCTCTCAAGCATTTATTGTGAGCCACCTTTCCTTCCCTGGATACCAAAACTGTTGCCAGGATTGCTTTAATACTTTGAAATGTTCCTAATTATTTTAGAATGTGTTGTGTGAATACACTATAAATATTTACGTTTAAATAAATATTCTTCTTTACGATTGCTTCTGCTCGCTCCCTTGGCTTACTCTAAATGAATATTATTTAAAAAATGCAATAGCCAGAGTAAATAAATTTCCCATGATTTCCCTGATTACGTAGTCCATAACTTCCGACATCAAGATTTCGTGGCGCACACATAAGCACACACCCGCACCCGCACACACACACGCAGTTGGTGGGGTGTCTGTGTGTGCTTGCGGTCTTAGCACGCTGGTCGTAACTTCCGCTCAGAACGCACACCACTTGAGTTTTGTGTAGCATTGCAAAATGCATTTTATACGCAATAAAAATACACTTACGGGGTTTTTTACAGCTCGCTCGCTTTGAGCCAGCCCGCCACCGCCGCCACGCCCCCTTGCCCTCTACGCCCACGCCGGCAATTTCATTTCTTTTGGCGCCGTTTTCTACTATAATATTTCCTACTTACAAAATAAAACCAAAAGTCAGTTGGTCTGCCAGTGGCTTGTTTGTGTTCTGTTCCTCTGTTGGTTAAGGAAATTTAATGAGCTACTTACTGCCGTCGTGGTGCAGCTTTCTCTGCTATATGTATGTGTGTGTGTCTGTGTGTGTTTGCCTCACCCCTCGCAGTCCATCCCTCTCGCGTTACGATTTTAACAAGTCGGTTGTTAAATAAATTTAAATTATATTGTCGCTCCCTTTACAAGCCGTTTCCGCGGCTCGCTGGTCATTCGTTTGCCGTAGAACCACACAATTTTCCCGATTGCGTTTGCGTTGGAAAAGCTTGTGCTACAAGTTTATTAATACTTGGCCTGCCAGCGAACACTTAATCATCTCAATGCTGGAAGGGTCTGGGGCAAGGACCCTGTAAAATATATCGACAAAAAAGTGAAAAGAACTCGGGGAAAAACGAATGCCGAAAATAAACATAAATAAATTGCCTCATCATCGCATTTACCTGGAGGCCATATTTTAGCCCAAATGATTCGAAACTTTTGAGCCCAGGTAAAAGGCCTTATACACTTATGAGTAACCGAAAATTTCTGCCCTTAGAAATAAAAATTTAATCAGAAATTTCACCATCGGCAGTGCGGTTTCAGCAAGACTTGCCAGAGGTCGTAGTTTTAAATTTCCCATATTTTTGCAGCATGTCAAAAATGTTTTTCGAGTATTTTCAGGCATTTATTTGAGTTGCTAGCAAAACGGCTGAGATTGCAAGTTCAACTTTTACTTTTTTGCGCACACAGAACTGCAAAAAAACTTCTGCGACAAACTTAATTTTACCAGTCAAAACGAAACTAAAAACTCGGCACAGAAGGGTTCACTTTGCCTTTCAATAAGAGCATTCTGGGCCCTTTGCCGTTTGATTGGCAGCTTGATTATAATTTGCTGTCCCAATTTGCCAGAAGGAGTACGTATTTCAGTTGGAAAATTTGCTGAAATGCCCTTGGTCACTATGTAAGTGGATAGCTTGAGCCCCCCTTTGATTTCCATTTTGAATTAATTGTAGCATTCATTGTTCGGGACCAAATAAACATAATGGTAGCACAATCAGCAGACGTAAAAATCAACTGTCCTTTGGCATTTCGTGTGTTGTGTGTTTGCCCAGGCAATTGGCAATGCAGAGCATGCAAAATAGGAAATGCAAATGCTAAGTAAATAATGTCATTGGAAAACGGCAAATGCAAACGTAAAGCGGCAAGCGGCAAGCGGCAGGCGGTAAGCGGCATGTGGCATGCAGCAAAACGGCAAAACGGCAAATGATGTGGCCGAGGCACAATCGGCGGTAGCAATCAGCAGGGCAGGCGCAAATCGCATTATCCCGCACCCGTGGCCTTCAGTTATCCCGCCCACAATTGTAATCGAATGTGCTGCATTCGCAGGCACTGCGGACCTGCCGAAATGGATTTCCAATACTCCATTTTTGGCGAACACAACTAAAATTTACCGGCTCCTTAAACTCTCTCGCTTTTCGGCCATACAAATTTTCTAAAATGCATAGATTTTCGGGCCATTGAAAGCCATTCAAAGGCACGCGAGAGCCCGCGAAATCGACTTTGGCATTTGTGACGAGTGCATCCAGGCCAAAGTCATAAATTGCGCAAAAATCGGGAATTGCATTGGAGAGGAGGAATATGGCGGCTTTGGTATCGGTTCAGCCCGTGGGTCTGGTTTTTGGGTTGTGACAGTGCCAGTTTGGCTATGCATGTTAAATGAAATTATTGCTATTTTTTGGCCGGCCCACATGGCGTATGCGTAACGCTCGCCCAATTCATCAATCACTAAATTTAGCAGAATGTTCATGTTTTTTGTTTCTTTGTTAAAAAATGGTTTAGATTTATGCGATAGAAACGACGTACATTTTTTTGCGTGCAACAACTTGCTGTTTTGCTTAAAAATTCTTTTCGCTTTTGTTTTGGCCACTTAAGCTTAAATTTCGTTTTCAGTTCGGTAAGAGGGGCAAGTGTTTTGCTTACAAATCGTCGGCATTTAATCCAATTTTGTGTTCTGCCACTGCGTTACAAGTACTGTGGGAAATTTCAGGTTGGATGATGGCGCAAAAAATTAGTTTACATAATATAATGGGTTTAACAAGCAGCAACCGTGGCTTAACAAAACTAATTTGCTCGACTGCTTTTTAATCATGAAATGATTTAAATAAATTTACTTTTTGTTTAGGTTACGTAAATTGCCACGCACTAAATAAAAACTAATGCATTTAGTGCGGTAGAAGATAGTAAGTTAATGGTTTTTTGACACGTTCTTAATTTACGCAAATATAATATTTATGAACGGTTTTGCCCAGTTGCCCGGTTGTTTTTCCTGTCATGGTATTTGGGCGGATCGTTAGCGCTGCTGGCCATTTTAAATGCTGCGAACACAACTCAATTAAGCCTGTAACTGACGGAGGAGGCCAGCCTCCCACTTAGCCATTTCCATTCCATTCCAGCCCACCGAGCAGCTGAATTTCGCACAGCCACAGAGTTAGAGTGCGATTTTGGGCACACTCCATGCCAATCGACGGCAGCCGGCTGAAGTGGTAACGGTCGTGGTGGTCTTGGCCGAGTAGGGTTGTATTGGCCAGAATGTAAGGGTCAATGGGGACACGATGGGATGGGATGGGATGGGAGAATCTGTCTGCCCGTCTGGCAGGTGTACAAGTCGTTTTGCCACTCCATTGCAGTGGCTATAATGCCTGTGTGTGAGTGTCCGTGTGCGTGTTAATTACATTTGGCTTGCATTTGGGCAAAAGTTGCCCCTCAAAATTGAATTACAAGTTTTTCGCTCGCCAGCATTTAGCAAAAGTGTTTTTTGTTTTCGTTTGCGCAATTTGACCACACATTGCCAGAGAGTTCAGAGAGTGGGGAAATTTTCTCTTTATTCCATTTTGCCAAAAGTTTGTGGCCAGCGATTGCAGAAAGAAAATAGTTTAAAGAACCGATACTGAAATTAACTTAAGCCTCTTTAAATCATTTAAGGAACATTTAATTTTCGTCGTTTCGCTACTTTTCTACCTTTTAGGGTAAAGAGTTCTCTTTTCGATTCGAGAGCGCATTGAAGAGAAAATGGTACCGCGATAAGGATAAAATCATCGCTAATAAAACTATTGCGCAACCTTACGAAGCATATAGTAATTTATGCTCTCTCGGTTACTTCGTATGATTGTTATAAATAATATTGTGTAGGTTGCAAAACAGGCAAGTTTTAAAAGTAAGCTTTTATTTGATATTACATGTTAAATTGTTCAAAAGTGCAAATTCCTTTGCGGTAGGAAATATTGAAAATGTTGAGCTTCTCGCATTTCATGTAAAATTGGTTGCCATAATTTTGTTGTAGCGATGCTGCTCTTTAGGAGAAAGTTTGCAAAAGTCCTTTTCAAACATCTTCAGCTCCTTGTGTGTATGAAGCGGCGGCCAAAGTGAGGTATAAGCCATGGTTCTATAGGAAAACAAAAAATATATTTTATTTCTGATAAGTTATAAGAAAAAGCTAGAACAAACTGTGGTAAAGAATAGATCTTCCTAAAAGTCCATCATTTAAACACCTTTACATATAAAATTACTTTTCTGCATCTTAATATTGGGTCCTAAAAGATCTACCAATTTAAAATTGACCTTTCACCTTTATAAAATTTTGGTATGCGGGTTAAGTCTATCCTTCCAAATAGCTAAACTTCCAAATTTTGTTCAACTTACCGAACGAACTGCCAGGCGTTCTCTGCCGTGGACTGATTTTCGATCAATAGATTAATCTCCCTTTTAAACTGGCGGGCGTATTCCCGCCTAGAATTGTGGTAGCGCTCGATACATCGGATTTGCCTAATATGAGGAGTAATGACTAATTAATTTTTCCAATACTTGTTAAAATTGTTGTGATTTTACAGAGGTATGCGGTGCGTTGAAAATGTGGGCTCATGCAAGGGGTCCCTGTCGTCGTCGAATTCGGTTTGGTAAGTAGGCATGTATATATCTTGTTCCATATCTGCGTAAACGGCATCAACGTATTGCTTATCATCCTTGTGCCGCTTTGTCATGAATTGGAACCAGTTTTGTGGCACGTCGCTCGGACTGTAGGAACCCCCCACAAAGGAAGCGAAGAAGGAACGCATTCCCATGCTCATCCTCTTGTCCTCCATCAGCTTTCGCTTTTCCTGCATTGCGGTCTTTCGCTCAACTGTTTGGCTCATTTTGAAGCTAGGTTTTAAATATATTTTTATTTCTGTGGACGAGTTTTAATATTGGTTCTGTTTACTGAACTATTTTTGGTTTGAATCTAATCAATTGTATTATTCGACTGATCTCAAAGCTTATGATTGTTTTAAACTATGCTACGCTGATGACTATGATTTTTTCTTAACCTACTATTCTTATGGAGTAAAAGTGAGTTTGTAGTCAGGTTTTGGGGCGTATATTTGAGTGGGTTTTTTTTGAGATGTATTAAGAAATATTTAATTCAAGCAGAGGAGCAAAATCGGGATATAGAAGATAGTTCCATTCTCAACAGGTCCGTTGCACAAATTAGGTTACAGGAGGAATTCTTTTTCTACAAAATTCAAGAATACTAAAGTACATATATTGCTTTCAGAAATTACATACACGATTTAACAGGAAGAAGCTGAACTGGAAAAAAAGGAGTTTTTATCAAATTAAATTTTTCTTCACGGTAATAACAACCAGTTCAAAGATTTTTTTTTTAAATTTTCCTTTAAAATCAGTGAACCCGTAAGATTGGTTTTTAAAATTGTAGTTGTTGTGGAACCTTATTTCAAGAAGCATTTTTTTTTGTATACCCCCTTAAATTGAATGCTTCATGAACTATTTTCAAGGTTTGGTTCAAACTGTTTAAACATTTGTTGGGGAAGTTTGGTCAAGAAACACAAGCCCCGAAGCCGTCCCGTTCCTTTGTCCGTGCTAACTGGTTCCTGCAGGCATCATTAACCTTTCCACACTCCACAATTAATGAGCCAAGCCATTGTCTACTTTGTTTTCCAGCCTCGCTGCGCCTGAAACGCAATCAGCCAGCAAACAAGTGCAAACTTGCAGATGGGGAACGCGGCAAAACCAGAAAAGCGTTGCTTGCATAATAGAAATTCATTGCCAAATTGCATAGAAAATCGTTGAGGGCGCTAAGGCGCTAGGTGCCGCTGGGCAAGTTGGCCGCATCTCGAAAGTTATTCCGCTCCACTCTTGCCAACGGAGAACAGCGGGTTTAATTACCGCAAACGGCGCTCGGCTGTAAGCGCATTACGTATACGCAGCGTGGCAACAGCAGCTGATAAAATCGCATTGAATGCAAGTTAATTAAAAGATGGGCGCCCTGGCCCGAAAAACACTCTTGACTCGACTTTAATTAAAAATTATTTGAACAAAAGCGGCCTTCGTTTCGCTCCTCAGGGTCGAATCGTCTCCTGGATCCAGTCCATGTAGTCGGACACCCGAGTATAGACTCCCGGCCATCCCTCCAGTCCGCAGCGGTTGCCGAAGGAGACCACGCCCTCCTGGAACCAGGCCTGGTCGTAAGCCCTGCGCATCAGGGGACCTCCGGAGTCTCCATCGCAACTGTCCCGGTAGAACTCCCCGCCGACGCACAATTGCGAGCTGATCAGCTGGATGTTCCGAGTGGCAAACTTTCGCGCACACGAGTCGTGATCGTTAACCGGGAGGTCCAGCCGCTGCTTGATGGTGCTCTTCCGGGCTGCCAGATAAGGATGAAGGGATGAAGGATTTTATTTTAAAATATTACAAGCCCAGGATTACAATTTATGTATTAATTTAGTTATTTCGAAAGATACATAAAGAAAATGACATAATGAATAAACAAATAATTGATTAAACAAAACAGTTTATGAATGTATTTTTGAGAAATTAAAAATTGTTTCCCGGTGACATTCAAATAAAGCTTCGTTTCGTAAGTAACAAAATTTTAGCTTTTATAATGACAAGTTTAGGATGTGTCAAAACTACCAATTCTTTTTCCTTGCACCATTGAGCTAATAAGTTTTAAAGCAATAAGCTGGCAAAATAATTTATCCAGTCATTGATACTTTTTAAGGATGAATATGCCTCACATAAAATTAGGGTACATTTAATTATTTTAACCCCTTTAATAAATAATCGATTTCAATTGATCTTATTTTGATATGGAAGTTTGATATCTTAAGTACTCTTTACTCTTTGAGGTACAAAATTCTAAAAAGATGTCAACTTTCCTATTTGCAAGCTTAGCATGTCTATAAGTTTCTAGTGTAGTTCTGATGATTGTAAGCTAATATGGAAACTATACATGTAGTTTTGCAGCGATTATCTTTAACTCAACTGAGCTTGGGCTGTTAAGTTGGAATATTTAAAACTCACCGGTAGTTGTACGTCCCCATCCGCTGACTACCAAGATTTCCCCCGTATTGATGGCCTGTCGAGTGCTGACCAAAGGCAAACACACCGGTTGGATATACTCATTGAGTACGACGGGCCGATCAAGTCGCAATAAGGCGATGTCATGGGTGCGGTCCTTGTTGTTAGGATCATATTGGGGATGTACAATGGCCTGTTCGATGCCCATTTCAAGGATGGGCTGGTTGCAGTAGCCGTCAATGCAATCTATGTCTTTGCTGGTGTCGTACTCTCCCAATCGAACTGTAGTGCTGCAAGAAGGCAAACAAATGAATTAATTGAAACATTTTAAAATTGTCCTTTTTTTTTTTAAAATAATTAAATTAAAAAAAATACTTCTTTCAGAAAAGAAACTTTTTGTTATATTCATTATAAACTTAAAAAATGTATGACCGTGCATAAAGTTTATATGCAGCGTAAATTTATTATAAAAAATGGTTCTTAAACTGAAAATTCAAGTTATGACAAGTTTTTGTTTGAATAAATCTTTAAAATCTTAAAAACCTTATTTTTAAAAGAAGCAATCTTAATACAAATATTTATTTTATATTATTTTACCTAAGTAAAATAAAAAGTCGCAATGGTAAAGATAACTTAAGAAAAAGATGATTACAAATGGCTAAAAAATGAACTGAAGACTTTTGACTAAAAGTTTTTTCTGGCGGGTTTCGTAACACTTGAAAACAGAAAAAACTATTTTCTTAGCTAAAGACTGTGAAAAAACTACTTACAGGCGACCCACCGCCTTTTCCACTTCTCCAATGACGCAATGTGCAGCGGTAAGAACATAACGACTGTTGATCAGACTACCGCCACAACTGAGCTCTCGGCGTCCTCGACCTTTAAAAAGGCAATACTTTCATTTAATATTATGTTATTATTATGTTTTAATATTCAACTCACGATCCACATACTCCAGCAAAGCCATCCAGTTGAACTCGTCCACCGCTGTGTCGTTTCCATTGTAGACCTTGTCGCTGAAGGAGTGCGGACCACATTTTGGGGGAGAGGGCAACAAGTTGCCCTCACCTTGCTGGCCCTCTTGACCCTGATTAAAAATGGAAGGTGTCACCGGAGGAGCGGTTGAGGATGATTCCTGAGGCCCAAAGCTCCGATCATTTGTACAGCAAACATAAGGAGTTCGTCCCACACCATCGGAGCAAGTAGAGCTCCGAAGGAAATTCCTGTCCTCCGAACTGACGGAATTCTGCTGAACCACCGCAAGTAGACTGGGGCAGTCGTATATAGACCTGCATATTCCCTGGTTCTGGTTGGGATTTCTACAACCTGTTCAGAAAAATACAGGAGAATTTTATGACAGTTCATATTTGAATAGCTTAAAATATTGAACTGGGTGGGTCAGTGCTTATAATTCAACTATCCATTACTCAGCTGTTGCATAAAAATGTAAACAACTTAATTGAATCGGTTGTTAAACTTGATTTGCGAATATATAAAACAAGCGATTAAATATGAATCAGACAAAAATGTAAATATCAATCAGATTTGTCGCCCTAAGAACTAATGCACTTTTTATGTATTTTCGCTTATTATTTTGCATTGCAAATGAATTATGATGGAGTCAGCACAAGTTATGTTTGATTTAAAATTACACTATATGTAAAAAACAGCTCACTGATAATATTAAGAATATTTCATTGCCAACCGAAAAATGCGTCGATAATGTAATCTGCTGCGCGATGATCGGACCCATTAAATTATTCAGTAGTAATTAAAAGCACACGAGTGCAAGTAAGTCGTTGGCATGGGAAAGATTGTTGAGTTCAAGTCTGATTATCGCATTGAATCTCAGTTAAGCTACTGAACTTGGTAAGTACCGGTAACGGTTAATGAGTCAGCTCCGCGTGAATCACATTTAGCTTGGTACTAACTTCCTTGGGCCTGAACACTTTGAAGAACGATGAACGGCAGCAGGCAGGTGCTCAAAAAAATCCCAAATACTTGGCGTGTTGACCTCATCTCACGGGATATTTCCCACAATCCGTAATATCAAAATTGACAGCTAATCCAATCTAAAACGCGTCTTTGCGATTACGCACGTCGACCTCGAGCACAGAATCACAAAATCGGGAGGGAATCGTATAGTATAGCCACCGTTAAAACGCCGCGAGAAATGATCGCGACTTGCGAACGAGAGACCTTTAAATGCGATCGGAGATTATAATCCAATCGAGGTAATAAAAGTGAGAGCCGTGAGTAGAGCTTTCGAGCCGGTCGAGAGACTCAAGCTTGACTTGTCCCAGCTGATAGAGATCGTATTAAAGCTTTTGGGAGGCGTATTCCCATTGTGCTCACGCTGAGAACTATTTACAATTCTCCAAAGACCAAAATCTCTGTGCATCGTGAAGATACAAATGATTGGTGTTTTGTTTTGAGCAAATAAAGGTAACCGATATTTGCTAAGCCAAAAATATTATGGCCCTAAAATGTTTGCAGAAAAGGGTAACAAATTGTTATGGTCACATAATTGACCTCTTTATTCACTTTATTCGCCTTTAATACTTTTATGAAGTACTGCCATTTCAGAATTAACATTCAAATTAAAAAAAAATTGCTATAAGAACAAAAAAATATTTTTTTTACAATTTTATTTTTTTCTTTTTTTATAAAATAGTATTTCACTTGTTACGCCTCGAGATGCTAAGTAAAATTTGTAGCCATTATTTTATTATAGCGACGCTGCTCAGCAGGAGAAAGTTTGCAGAAGTCCTTTTCGAAGTTTTTGAGCTCTTCTCTTGTATGCAGCGGTGGCCAAAGTGTTGTATAACTCATCGTCCTGTTAAAGAAATTACATAAATATCAGGAGAAATCAGTTTTTGTATATCTTGTATTTCGAAGAATAATTTTTGAGAGAAAGATTTAAAAACCAACCAAATTCAATTAACATATAACTTTGCTTCAAGACTACAAGACTTAAATTTTAAATTATAAGAAAATCGTCCTATCCCATTCCAGAAATCGCCAATTACTTAATTCTTTGAACATATCTAGTTTTAGTTATATTTTATGATAAAAAAATTAAGTGATCGTACCTTACAAATTGCCAGGCACTTTCCGCAGTTGACTGATTGTCGATCAGGAGTTGTATCTCACGCTTGAACTGATTCGCATACTCCAGTTTTGAGTTGTGGTACCGCTCTAGACATCGAATTTGCCTAAAAAATTATATTAAATAATTTATTATCTTATCTTTTTTGCACTTACAGTGGTATGCGGTGATGTGAGAAACTTGGCTCACGCACTGGGTCCCTGTCATCATCGAAAACGGTTTTGTAAATGGGCTCGTACGTTTCCACAGCTATATCCTTATAATTACTATCCACGTAATCCTTGTCAGCCTTGTGGCGCTTACTCATAGAATTGAAGGAGTATCTCGTCTCCCCATTCGTTTGGAACATGCTTCCCATAACAGAAGCACAGATGGACTTCATTCCCATGGTCATTCTTTTGTTTTCCAAGAGTTTCCTCTTATCCTGCATCAGGGTTTTACGCTCAATTATGTCGCTCATATTGAAGCACTAAGTTATGTATATTTCTGTGGATGTTTTTTTTTCCCCGATCTAATAAATCGAGTGTTTTTGATATTGTCGTGTTTATGTGATGTTGTTGACTGATCTTTAGGTATGTGTACACGTATTTGGGTACAAATTTAGGACAGGACAGTCTACTTCGATGGATGATGTTTGTTTTATTTAGGATACAGTAAATTTTGAGGTTGGAAAAAATGTATAATTTTGGATATATCTACATATATTTTGACACTGAATTCAAAAGATTTTTATGCCAGGAAAAAGTGTGTTAATATGTAAAAGGCAGTCTAGGAATTGAGGTTAAAGAAAAGTTGATGTTGTTAAATTGAATTATAAACATTAAGTAGGTCGTATAATATTTCGAAACTTTGGAGCCTAGTTTCTTTTTACCGAAACTGCTGAAGCGATCAGAGAGTTCGCCATGAAATTTATATGCTGAGCCAAAAGGAGTTTGAATCCTTGCAGATTAACATTTGCATTTCATGCGCTGCATCTTGCCATAAGAAGTGATGTAAAAAACAGGAAAGCAGAGGACGAACAGGACCTCCACCAAAGTAGAACACAAATCGAGTACAACTTTTGCGAAAGTTGTTTTCCTTTGCCTGTCGGCATCGAAGCGTAGTCCTCGGATCCCGTCCAATCCCATTCCAGGAACTCCCCACTTCACCTCCACTCTGCTCATCCTCCCCCATCCTGTTTAGCTTCAATGAATGCTCCAACGCTCCGTGAACCCCCTTTGGCTGCCTTGGCCCCCCGAATCCCCCGTAGCCCCCCAGTAAGCCGTTCCACTTGGCCCATTCACGATGTCTATCTGCTGTTGGGCGCTTTGTTTTTGTGCCGGCCTATTCATAATTCCACAGCCGGCTGCTGGCACAAATTGAAAAGCAAACACGTGGCTCTGTAGTTGGCCTTATCACTGGCTACATTGGGATTTCGTTGCTCTGAGCCACTGACACTTCGTCATGTCCATCCATCCGTCTGTCTGCCCGGCTTTTTGGTTTGGGTTTGGGTTCAGTTTCAGTTTCAGTAGCAGCCGGAGTCGAACTCGGGCCCTCGGAATTTGAGTTTTTGTGTTGAGCTGCTGTGACACTTTTTTGTTGTCTCGTCCTCTGCGTTTGTTTGTCTGTACGTACATATGTATGTATGCTGTATGTGTGTATGTGTGTTCGTGTAGCGTTACCATTTTGTTTGTGGGCTTAGGTCAGCACTTTGCCATTTCATAGCTGCATGCACCAGGGTCCTCATTGTCATCATTGTCGACCCATCCCAGCATCACTCCGTCTTGCAGTCCTTGGGCATTGTTTAATCATTTTCCTGCTTAGGGCAGGAAATTCTCTACCAGCCGCACAGACTTGTCGGCACTTTTTTTAAGCCAGCGGCGAAACTTTAACTAAAGCTTAACCCTTAATGAGGGCATTATGGCTGGGGAGCTCTTAAGCCGACGATGGGGTATCATTGCTAATTCCCCCGGTCAGTGGCGAAAGTTGAAGGAAACTTTAAGGTGTTTACTGCCGGACTTTCAGCTGCGCCCGCTTTTCCAGCACTTTCCTGCAACTGCAGACGGAGGACGATGGCTGCCCATCAAAGGCAGACGCCACTCGAGATGATTTCCGCCCGGAGCCATTGAGATTGAGTTGAGTTCTGGTCAAGGAGCCGGGTCACTTGTGTGTCGATTTCAGTGGCTCTGTACTTTTGCTCTCGAGAGCCTTGTATATTAATTGAAATTAAAAACACTTTCGAGTGTCCGGCAAGTGGCTCCCATTAAAGTTATTTGAGATTTATGACCGCAGCAGGGTAAAATTAACTGCAAGGACGTGAATTTCGAGATTTAACATTAATATGTTCATGATATAAAAGAATTTCAATTATTTAAAGTTAAGTATTTACATGTACTTCAATGATGCCATGATTCTATTTATTTCTCGGGACTATGAGTTGGCTTGATTTTTAATTAAAAAAAAAGTTGTTGGTACGTAGTGTAACAAAACGGAAAATGTATATCTTTGAACCTGTATAATTACAAAAATTTTTAATATATTTTAATAATTATTGATTACTAATTAAATTGTGTGACTTTTTTGACATTTGATTGACAATGTCTTTAAATTTCGGAATGTTGAAAACAACAACAAACAACAACAAACAACAAAATTCAACTGTCAAAATATTTATCCAATTTATTTTACGTTAAAAATATTTGCGTTTGCATATTTATTAGTTAATATTCGTGGCTAAAGCAATGTATAAATTAACGAAGAAAAGAGATGGGAATGCAACCGAATTTATGCCTCAATTTGTGCGGTGTCCCCCGATGTCAAGCATAAATTCTACGACAAACAAGCAAAAAATTTAAATTAGCTGGCACCGGGGAAATGGGAAAACTCCCGTGAAAGAGAGCGAGAAAAAAAACAGTGCCGGGTAGAACACAAATGTAGTTGGCTTTTAATTTCCAATAAACCCTCTCCGCTGCGGATCTGCAATATTAATGAACTGTAAAGAGGTAGAGTGGAAACAAAAACCAAATGCAAAAGGTGTACTTTGTGTCTGTGTTTGCATGACCCGGACACATGTTCAATTAGGAAAATGCTCGTTCTGTGCGGCATTTTTACGGTTTGGTCAGTGTAGCGTTTTCCATATCCACCATTCCATGGAGCAACTTGGCGGACGGGAATGCAATTCATAAATCGCTCCCTGCATGCATACGGCTAATTAAATTAGCGATGGAAGGTGCAACGAGTTCCACGAATTTTCCAACGCCTGGCCGCGTTGCAACGAAGGTTTTCCACGTGCTCACGGCGGTCATTTAATTAAATTTCAATTAGCTGCGCACTCTCCTGTAGGTTGCACTGAATGCACTGAAATTGTAAATAGTAAATAAAAAATTACAAATTAAGTGAAGCATTTATGTCTACACAAATAACTTACAAGCCAACTTAAATGCCCAAAATATTATTAAAGAGGATCAATTTTCACAGGATATCTTTTTTACCCAAACTATCTGAATCACAAAGTATATATTATTATTTTTTATAGTGTACCTACCTGACGTGTTTCACATGTTAATCAGCGGAGCGTGAGAAGAAAACTGTTTCCATTATTATGCGGCTAGAACTTTGTTGTTCCTTGGCCAAAATGTGAGGATTTTTACCATGACCGAAAGGCAATCAAACTTTGCCTCGAACTTGGGGACTTATGAACCGACTTAAGAAGCGCGTGGTATGCAATTTGATTAGCATTTCGCACAACCAAACAATTCGCAGTTGTCGCGCATGTGGGTGTTGGTTGAGTAATGAAAAGGGCAACTAAAAACCCATTAACCCACATTCTTCCCCGCTTAAATGCTCAGACGTGCCCCACTCAGCTGTCGCCCACACTGTCCCCCTCTCGACTTAGTGAGTGTGTCTGTGAGGGGTGCAAACAACAAACAATCAACAACAAGTGCAACAATGGCCAGCGGACTTGAACTGCATTTCCCCCTCCATTCCCCAGCCCGCTTTCATTTGGCAGCGCAAATCCCTAAACAGCAAGCGGCGACTAGGAAACAAGTCAACACCGCCTACCAACAAAGCCAAATGTTTCATGTGCCACCCGGCACAAAACAAACTCAAAGCCGTACACTTAAAAGGTTTTTTTGATATTAAGTTTCTTTGTGGCTAAATGGAAAATAATGGTATGAAAAGAGAATAAGGTTCATATGCCAGGACTTATAGAAGCATGAACGTGTTCTTTTTAATATAGCTTTAGCAGATTTCATGTTTCTGTATTTATATATTATATATTTTAAACATGACACTTCAAAACTTAATTCTTATCCCTTGTATCATATTATGTTTAAAATGTAAATTTATGTTTGTTATAGCTTTATCTGCTTAAATATTTTTTTAAAGAAGTTTTTTGGCTTAGGATCTTACAGAAATATTCTTTTTATCTTTAATCCAACAAATAAAGACATTGCATTATTTCCATACCATCCGTTTTTATGCTTTGGATACGTTCAGGAATAGGTCTTATTTGTGGATCGCCTAGAACTAGTTGGAATTTCTATAATATTACTCATAAAATATTTTGCAAGCTAATACGATTCTGAATTTTTTATGAGCAAATATGCTTTTGAGTAGAACAATAACTGTAAACTTAACCTTTATTTATTTCTTATCTTTTTGTTTACTAACTAAAAGCAAGGATTGTTGTTCCCAGGAGTCACAAGTGGCTATCGTCGGGAAAGCTTTCGAGGTGCGAGCAAGACAGAAATACTTGCTCTATCTCGTTTTTGCGGCGCAAGCAATATATCCCCTTCGCGCTCGCACCGCTAAGAGAGTCTGCAAAGGCCAGAAAGTGAAGAGAACGAAAGCTTCTACGAAGCCGAAGTCTCTTCGGTTTCAAGTCCTTTCGGGTTTGCTCGGCAAAACGCTCGGGTTTCCCAGTCAACGCACAAAAGCGGGCTACACTTTTCGTTGCGGAAACTTCAGAAACTTTGGACGAGTTCGAAGCAATGACTCTGAACTCTGGCTCAGAATGTATTGACATAGTTGCCTGGCTGGCTCGAAAGTCATTCAGGTGCAAGTGGCGAACTTTCTCCGCCAGTTTGCAAGAGCCAGTTCTTGTATTTATTTTTATCGCTGTTCATTAGTTGGCAGTTGCCATAATTTTAATTTTATAGTTTCACCAGCATATTAATTTACGCAGGCCGCCCCTTTAATGCACTTTTTGGGCGGAAAATTTTAGATTGCTTTTGGCCGCTGATTGTCAGGCCAAAAACAATCGCAGTGAAAATGAAAGGCAACGCTGTTGACGCCTAGCTGCCAATTTATCATGCATAATACGACGCACTGAACCAAAATAAATCAATCGAAATTTATTTGACCCCATTCTATGAAAATATAATTTAGCAAAATCAAATTAGATGTAAGCCGATTTCCTGCGAAATTCTTCGACAGCCCGTCGAATTGTGTGTGCCACAAATGGGAAGCAGCTACTGGGCCCTTCCGATATTTTGGCCATTAACGCAAATTGAATAGTCGAGCAGTGCTCAGTTTACCCCATTTAATAACTGAGTTTCGATAGGCAAACTCATTTGCTTGCATTTTATTTATTTTTTTTTTCCAATTTAACTCTTCGTTGCGATACGTGCGGAAAATGTTATATTTTCATATGTTCCAGGTGAGGGTGTGGCCAAAAAGTTGGCAACATGCAAATGCTGGCATCCATAAATTTGCCGCTTTCCAGCTAAAAAGTGGCCAACAGTTTTGTTTGCCACGTGCAGGTTCTTCTTTTCTGGGTGCCTAAAATTTTGCATGGTCAGAAAGTGAGTAATGGCAGTCGGGGAAAGTCGGCTGATCCTTCTGACAGAGCCAGCAATTGCAGCATATTTAGGTGCTTGTTTTCAAAAACTCTATTTAATTTGGGTTCTGGTTTCCCCTGACTCACGACTCGGTGCACTTTTGCTTCTCATTTTTCAAGTCGACTGCGTGCGGCGCGATTTCCTTTTTCTTCTCTAATGTTTTCCTCGTAGTTTTCCTTTGCGGCTGTCCGGAGTCCACCCGAGATGGCCATTGCCCAGCCGATTTTGCAGCATTTAATTTAAGTTACAGCACAAGCTGGCGCGATTTATTACGGACCCTGCTGCCCCTTTCTGTGTCCCTTTCCCATTTTTTCTCCATTTTTTAGTGGAAGAGAACTGGCCGTGGACACGGACACAATGAAGGAGTTGTAATTTTTTGCCTCCTGTCCTTTCGACTGTTATATTTTTTTATTGAAAATTACACAGAAAATAAGTTTTTGTGAGTGCTTTTATCACGGTTGAATTAAGATGCCTACATCTGTTTAACAGTATGGGGTTAAATTTTCCTTCACCTTGTTTTTTCGTAATAGAACAATTTGTTTAAAGAGGACTGCTTGTTATTTAAATGTATTACTTTTAAAAAAATGTAATTCTTTTTAAAGGGATATGTAAAGTACAAAACAAATAAGCTTATAAGTTTATTCATGACTAAAAACGCAAATATTTTAATTGAATTTTACAAATTACTTTGTCTTTTCTTGTTAAGGCATGGTTGATAAATGAAATAGCCCAATTATCAATCAATTTAAATTTGCCAATTATATTTATTTTCGTTACCAATGAATGCAGTTAGCAATTCATGGCAAAAAGTATTTTCAGGCTAAAAGTATGAACTTGATTTAAGCTCAATTCAATTAACGTTCTTCAAAGAAAATATTCCATAACTTTTCCCTTTTAACATTGCTTCAGAAATCACAGTAATTTCCATTTATCTTTATGCAGCCTGGTTTTATGAATAAATTGATGTCATCAAACTGAAAACTGAAACTTTGTTGAACTTCGGCCTTGGACCTCCCATCTTTTCCCGCCCATTCGAGTCGTTCATTTCGAGCAGTGCAATATGTGCCTTACTGGGTGATTTTGACCCGGCCAGAAGCCCATAACCAATCTCAGTACAATAAATTAAACCTAAACAATTCATTCGGCCGAGCGAGGTTCGGTTTCTGTTTCAGCTGCTAGGACATTTTGGACGCAGGATGCTGGTTAGCGGGGAGGGGATATACCATAGGGTACATAGGGACTATGGAGGATTCTCAGGGGCAATAAGGCAGAAAGCCACTTCTTAGTTTGCTTGCAGCTCAAGCGGAAACCATATAAATGCGGAAATGATAAAAATGCCTGCGAACATGTTTCCAAAGCGTATGCGATAAATTGCAATGGCAAGAAGGTCCTTGGTCCTCGATCCTGTGGCCCCCAGCCATGGTTTTCCCACTTCCACATGGTCGTTGCAGCCAGACAATAAAATAATAATAAAAATAGAACAAAACCGGCGAGCAGACGACATCGACAATGATGAGGTTCCATTTTGCCCGGATCGGTTTGGGACCGAGCTTGCTGCCACTGTTCAATAAATGAATGTGGCCAAATGAAGGACACTGGGTCCCCATGAAACTGTTCGGCAAAGCAAACTCAAACGCAAACACAAACACACACCCGACGAACGTTGGGTGCGCGGGAAAGAACGCAACGACTGTCAATTTAATGAAATTGTTTTACACTCAATTGAGTTACCAACTGGAAAAGAAAACAAAAAGCGTACCAAGAAGCACCAGAACTAGGCAAACAAACTGTTTTCGCCGGAGAAAGATTTCGGGTAATTTGCATTGCCTCCAAACACCAACGACCCACATTCGGTTCGAAGTTAATCTTTTCTAATACAAAATGGCCCAAACGCTGTCGGCTTTAACGCAATGTGGGTGACATCGGAGATGCTCGGTTTTGATTCAATATTCACCACAGTTTGAGAAAAATTAACTCGCGCGGGATTTCTTTGCATTCATAGGTAGTCGATTTTGTGCAAGGATAGCTTTAATGAATCTACGAATATCGCTTTGGAGAAAAGGGCAGAAATTAAATAATAAGAAATAAAATATATCTCCTTAAACAGGAATTACAGGAATTAAATAAATAAACTTTCTTTAATTATGTGCATACTTTTTGATATCACATATCCTTTAAAGAAAAAATTTCGAACTTTATTACTTACCTTTACAATCGAATAGGAAATACAAGAATATGAAATTCAAGTTTGGTTCTTTCCGGATAAAATTATACTATACTGGTTTCTCGTTAATATTATTTGTTTTGATATCTATAATAAAAAAACATTTGGAGCATTGATAAGAACAAGTAAAAATTTATGAATATTTTTTAACCTTTAAAACTAATTCTATTAACAATTTTAAACGCAGTTTTCAATAAAGAAATACTTTTAGAAGAAATTGTTGATCTTTTCTATTTAAATGACAATGAGTGTACTATAATAAACTCACTATTTTTGTGTACGCGAGAGAGAAAATCTCTGAGTTCTTTCAAATGTTGATTGAATGAAAATGAGAGAAAATCTCTGAGATCTTTCAAACGTGTTCAAAAAATGAAAATGAGAGAAAATCTCTGAGATCTTTTAAACGGAAAGAAACACACACAACGATAGACAATCTCTGAGATCTTTCAAACATATGAAAACTGAATGAGAGAGGAATACTAGATAAGACCTACAGAAGATCGTCGAGAGCCGCATTCCATTTAGTGCGCTGGACGCAGAAAGTTGTTCCTCCAATTAACCTGAACCATTCAATTCAATTTCTTCTTTATTAATTTAATAAACATGTCGGCATTTGAACTGAATAACTTAAATGAATGTTTGGAACAGCATTTACCTGAGGCTGAACTCAAGGAGGTGAAGCGAATTCTGTATGGCGTTGAAGAAGAGTGAGTACAGTTGAAAAGCGATTGTGATAAGAATGCCTGACAAAGTACGAACATCATGTGGGGTGATTGTAAAACAACTCGAGATAGTTCTAAATATATTTTAATCTTAATCTTTTGGCAAACACAAGAGCACCACATACAAAATTTCCAGTTGTCCCTATATTTACGTTAATTTATTGAATGGTATACATATATATATGAGAAAGTTTAATTTTAGAACTAATAAAATGTATATCTTGGTGTTTGTGTGGACATGTGTAAATATTGGTGTGAACATCTGGTGATTTGAGTGGAACGATCGGTTATTAAACAAATCAAAACAATAGAAAACAAGATAATGGGAAAGCATTAATAAAAAACATTGCATACATTTTATGAAAATAACAAAGTCAACTTGTGTTTAATTATTTTGACAGATTTATATTTTATAAACTTCAAAATTTTTTTAAGCTTAAAATGTTTATTTGGTTGACAGCAATGGTTGTGTTACTGAAAAGAAACCGGCTTAAGCCAGCTCGACGATCATTTTCACACGCCAAAGAAAATGTTTTTAATGGTCAAAAAGTCTAATCCATGCGTAAAAAATTATTTTATTAAACAAAAACAATCAATAAGTTTTCTAAATTTAAGATACTAGTTTACGCTTCTATTCTTACCACGATTTTATTTGCTATTAATTGTTTTAAAAATGTGAAATAAAAATTTTTTTTTACTTAGCCAAACACTGGAGCTACCTTCCAGTGCCACAGATATCGCTCAAGAGAATGGATTTGACATCAAGGGCTATCGCTTCAAGGCGCGAGATGAGCAAACTCGAAAGCGCCGAATAGTTAGGGTTGGTGCCATTCAAAACTCGATCGCGATTCCCACTACAGAGCCCATTGAAAAGCAACGGGAAGCTATTTGGAACAAGGTCAAGACCATGATCAAGGCGGCAGCGGAGGCCGGATGCAATATTATTTGCACACAGGAAGCGTGGAGTAAGTCCCATAATAATAAACACAAAACATAGTTGTTTAGAAAACCGAGAGTTCTAGTAATTATATGTGTTTATACGATAACAACATAAAAGTTGTCTTGGCTAAGATGTTTTTTTAAACATTAACGTATAGTACGAGCGCAATTATAATATAAACAAGAACTAAATAATCGTGGATAGACCTTCATGAATACTTAAAACTGATTTATTCTGTTTATTATTTTAGCTATGCCATTTGCATTCTGCACTCGAGAGAAGTTTCCCTGGTGCGAGTTCGCTGAGGAGGCCGAAAATGGTCCCACGACCAAGATGCTTGCTGAACTGGCCAAGGCCTACAATATGGTTATAATTCACTCGATCCTGGAGCGTGATGTGGAGCACGGCGAGACGATCTGGAATACGGCAGTTGTTATTTCGAACAGCGGTCGTTACATGGGAAAGCATCGCAAGAACCACATTCCCCGGGTGGGTGACTTCAACGAATCCACTTACTACATGGAGGGCAACACCGGTCATCCGGTCTTCGAGACGGAGTTCGGAAAACTGGCCATAAACATCTGCTATGGACGCCATCATCCGCAAAACTGGATGATGTTCGGCCTGAATGGAGCGGAGATAGTCTTCAATCCCTCGGCAACGATCGGTCGCCTATCGGAGCCACTTTGGAGCATCGAGGCCCGCAATGCTGCCATTGCCAATAGCTACTTCACAGTTCCGATAAATCGCGTGGGAACTGAACAGTTCCCCAACGAGTACACCTCCGGTGATGGAAACAAGGCTCACAAGGAGTTCGGACCCTTCTACGGATCCTCGTATGTCGCTGCTCCAGACGGTTCAAGGACACCGGTAAGTTCAATAAGTTTTAAAATAAATACACAAATATGACCTTTGTGAAAGTTATGGATTTCCTAATAATATAATATTCGAACTATTCTTTGCAGAGCTTGTCCCGGAATAAGGATGGCTTACTGGTCGTCGAACTCGATTTGAACCTCTGTCGCCAGGTGAAGGACTTCTGGGGTTTCCGCATGACCCAACGAATTCCTCTTTACGCTGAATCTTTTCAAAAGGCTTCGGAACATAACTTTAAACCTCAGATCATAAAGGAAAATTAGTAATTCAATTTGTACATAATTATAATTGCTTAAGCAATTTAATCAACTGGGAGAAAGTCTTTACAAGAAAACTACCGTTTGTGTAAATCTTTTAATAAAGGTAAACTCATCTTTGAAAATGATAGAAAATTAAAAATATTTTTTTTAATAAAGTATTTTCTACTCCATTTAAGAATCAGTGTAACTATCAAAGGTTTTTGATTATAATAAGGCATAGCCAAACTTATTTAATTTTTATGCCCAAACAAAATGTTTTATATTATATCGACGCATTTCCGCGACTGTATCGTATGTAGAAAAATCAAATTTTACAGGAGAAGCTTTTTCTTTATTTTTGTATTTCGGTATTTTTGTGCGATTGCAGTATTTCCATGCAAATTTGTATGGACATACGATAATTTCGCGCGCACATTGTAACATACGATAAAATTGAAACCTAATTTTTATCGGAACTATAGGGCTTTCAGTTATAATATTTCACAGGGTAGTGAGACATTAGGTGCCTAACAATTTTGCATTAAAATCTCAATTTCGAAAAAAAGCGACATACGATACAGTCGCGGAAATGCGTCGATATGTTAACGTTGATTTTGTCGACATTGATTTTATACCCGTTACTATAATACTTAAAGGGTATGCTGGATTATTGTTTTTCGGTAAGTAAAAAACATTTATTTTAAAGATCTCATTAATTTTGGCTTAACTTTTAGGAACCTTGCAAATTAAGCTTTCCTACGAAAGTTGTTAAAAGTCATCCTTGAATCCAGAGAGCATCTCTAGTATATCTCATTCCCCGACGACTGCTTTAAAATGTTCCCTCCATGGAAAACGCTCCAATCTAGCATTGAGCTAAGCTTTGACTTTTACGATTATGTTACGGATGAATGGGAACCGGGGATGAGGATGGAGATACAGATGGGGGAGAATGTGGCAGGGGATGTGGGTTCGAGTGTGGGTCCCGGTGGGGATGGGATATAATCTGTTTCTATTACGTTTGCTTATCTGCATGCGACTCACATGTGCGTTTCTTTGCCGACTCCTAATGCAGTAATAATCGTTTGTGCGTTGCCGAAATGACTCGACTGACCTTGTGGAGCGTTTCCAGAAATTGGCCAGATTATTCTGAATTGGTTTCCCTGCTCTCGGCCTGACCTTGTGCGGCAATGGAGTTATAAAGCGAAAATTGCTTGTCGAGAAACGCAACACAAATGGAAATTATAAACTTTTATGCAGCTGGCAAGAGCAGGAGATGGGAGTATGCAAATTGAATTTCGGCAACATCCAAGTCGAAAAGATACAAAGAGACAAATGTGCGAGTTTTGTTATTTTGCTCATAGTATAGGTCACAACAATATTGTCAAGTTGAAATGCTTGTATTGCTTTAATAATTTCTTTTAATTTTACGTGGTACCGCTAGCTCTTGAAAATTTACGAAACTAATTATTTACAAAAAAATATTAAAAAAAAGAAACAAAACAAAACAATTGTAAGCAATTTTTTCAACAATTTACAATACTTCTTCAAAAAAAAAAAACCTGTTACATCTGCATGTTTTTTGTTTACATATTTATACAAACAAAGCTAGACATAGAAACATATGTTATGTTTTACACGAATATTGACTGCTTTACATATATTTTAAAATAATTAAACATGATTCCTTTTGTTCTATTGTTTTGACCAATGCTGTACAAGAAGTGTGGGCATGAAAGTCGGATTTCGTGTGTGTCTATTTGACAAAGGTCACCCGAAAATAAATCAAATATTTACGCAGCACATTCGTTTATTCAAATTGAAAAGTCACTTTGGCACACAAACTCTTGGCGAAAACTGATTCAGGGCCCGATTGCATTACCCATTCGACATGTAGCTAATAAATATGTTTTCCGGGGAAAAGCCAAATAAAACCCAAAGTGACAGAGGCCTTCCCAAACGAGCCTCGCTGGGACATCGGGGAATAGCCAATAAAATGTGGGAGCCGGTCGTTTATGGCCGTAGGTTATCTTCGACCAGACGAGTATATATTTAATTCAGTACCCGAGTTGATTGATTAAGCCCAAGATAAATTCCCAACCGTCGGCATGCTCAAGCTTCCTCAAGATAATCCTCTAAATATCGGATAATAATTTTCAAGCCAGCCTGCAGCAATTACACTAATCATTTCTCTCTCTCCTCCGCTCAAGGGGCAGATGGCAATTGTGACAGCTATCAGATATCAGAGCGATTTCAATTAAAAGCCAACCTTTTAATTAAAGAGATAAAGTAGCTATAAAACGGGGGAAAGGCCAGCTGGTCAGCAGGCTAAGTGGGGGAAACTTGATTATAAGCTCATATTTAATTAAACATAATATTTAGAGCTAAGCAGCTCCAACCGAAGACGCTTAAGTGCTCGTTAAGCGTGTGTGTGGTATACATGAGTATCTATGTATGTACGTAAGTAACTGCCCTAAAGGCTGTCAGGACTCGAGACTCCGGGACCGTAATCAGGACTCCGGCAGGATGTGTGTGTGCATTTTGCGGCAAGCTGGCTGAAAAAATGTCGAGGACGTGCATCAATCTGAATGCATAATAATGGTGCCAGTGTGGCAATCAGTTACTCCCAAGGCGGCATTAACCACCAGTCAAATGCATATTGAACAGGATGTTGAATCCACATAGAGCAAATGTATATTCTTTGCAAAATTCAGGGTTGCGAATTCAAAATGTCATATGGTTCTTTTTGGTAATTATGAAGATTAAAGGTAAGTTTGATTTTGCTACAACTATTATTTCATTTAAAATAATAAATACTTTAAGTATATTAAAAGCATTATTTAATGTTATAATTCTTTATTTCATTTTTAAATTCCACAGGATCTTTTTAGTGTGGAAAAGATAGTACAGTGGAGTTGGTTCGGTTCAGCTCAGATTCTTTTTTGCATCCCTGTTTAAATCAGCAGCAGAGCCGCACACGATATGAATGGGAAATCTTAAGCCGCGTACGTGTGCACAACAGTGGCGAGAAATGAAAAGGAAAGGAGCTGAAAAGGAGCACACTCACCAGGAGCAGAAGAAGAAGAAGCGGCAGGCACAGGCGAGGAAAATTGGAAAGGAAATGTGATGCCGGGCGGCATTGTTGGTGCTCGGTTGGAAATGGAACGAAGTAGGAGATGTGGAGGCGCCTCCGACTGCGCCGCTCATTCTGGAGGCCCTTCCATTAAACAGGATTATTTATTTTATTTCGTTATGCGCGGCAAACAGCTTGTGTAAAGGATTTAAGCGGCTGCTGAATGTGGCAAGCGGCCACCCAAGCCCGATTCTTATTCCCAATCCCAATTCCAATTTCAAACTCCCTTGTAATGAAATACACGAAAACTTAAAACCAACAAACCAGCGAGGAGAACAACAAAGGAGCTCGTGATATTAAATTCCAGCCGCACTTGCACTTGTTAGAGCCTGTAAGATTATAATTCTGCCACAAGGATACTCGCAGATAACTGGCAATGAAAGTGGGCCGTCCGGGGGTAGGAGTCCTGTTGTGTGCTGCCAGGACAATGCAGATAGGCGTTGGGGATAATAAAATATTATGCAACTGGGACTCAAGACGGGGTTGGGGTTGGGGATGGGGAACTGGGGCAGGAAAAAGGCGCCAGAGCGGAAATGGAAAGCTTGAATGCAAGATGGGAAACGGTTACGTTAGTATGGGTGCCTCTTTTATGGATTTGAGAGAGTGTGTGTGCCGAGGCATAAAAGTCAATTCCCTGAAGGGGGTTCAAAGTCTGGCCTAATAATTGTAACTTGGTGATTGGAAAACCAATTTGCGGAGTAGTCTTAAAGAAACCTTAAAAGTGTTGTGTAGTAAAATTACCAAGTATAGTAAATTACCAAATTTAAAGAAATTATAATAAACGCATTATATTTTACAGACGTATTATGACACAAAATTCCTTAGCTTCTCCTTTAGAAGGAAAGGAAATTCAAACTTAATTGGTCACTAATTAATGGATGAAAGTTAGGGCAATTAAAAACCCATTACTTTATTAATACAGATTGAATTAACCTTTTGGTTGCTCTTCAACTATTTTATTACTGAAAATTTTATGTATTTTCCAAGCTCAATATTGGCTTACAGTCACATATTAACCAGCCAAATTTATTCAGGGGTAAAAGAGAAGCGCAAAGAGAAAAATATTAATTAAAATGGGTATTTGGTACTGTGAAGCTCACTTTAATTGCACTTCGGTTGGGATCATATCTGTGTTTTCTCATTACGAAGCGGTAACTGAGAACCTTTGGTTAACGCACCACAATCCAAGCAGAAAAGGAAGTGCAGTACGCAAGATGTTCTGTGTTTATGACCAGAGCCCCATTGGGGCTTTATAATTAATACCTGCTCGGATTAACGGCCGCCAGGTGAAAATTTTCGCAATTGTAATGATAATGTGAAACGGAGCGTTGAAGGCCATTAAACTTGTGCACGAGGAGCGCTCGAATTAAACAATAAAATATTTAAAAATGTTGCCCAACATGAAGAACACACTGCTCCTTTGGCTGATTTTTTCTTTATTTTATTATTCTCATTACTTTTTTCATTGTTATGAGCGAAAAGACAAAGGAGCTGAAACCGAAACTGTTACTGTAACTGTAAGTGTAACTGTAATGGTAAGTGTAACCGGAGTGGCTAGTGAGTGGGTGAGTGGTTGGGTGGGTGTTATGTTGGGCTGGAAGGGTCCTGCTGCGGTTCTGCTTGACTGCAGATCCTGCGGCTCCCTGTGAAGTGTGTGCCATGCTCGACTTCTCACCTGCTTACCGCACCAATGGCAATAACAACAACAGCAGGAGCAGGAAAATCGAGAAAAGTGGGTTGCGGAAAGGAAAAGCTGCGGTCAATGCTCCTGCTCGGACACTCTCCTTTTACGAAAGTCACAGGATCCAAGATTGAGTTTTATGCGCATGTAAACTGTTATGATATGGGACAGTTAATGTGTATATGAATGACCCTTCTAATGGTCACTAAATGCGGAAGAATGGCGTGCGAACTCAGTAAAATTATATTACGTCCTGTGAAGACTAAGCCTTTTGCTGTTACATAAGTTAAATACAAGGTTTTCAATTTAGTTCAATATGGTAGATATGATGAGTTCAGTATAATGTTTATAAACTTTATGAAAGTGTAGCTTCAAAAACA